GGAAGCCGGGGTCATACGGGCAGGGGCCACCATGTGGCACCATTGGATTCCATGCTGCTGTAAAGGCTAGCGGAGCCCCAGCCCTACAGGCTGTTTGCCGCCCCGCCCACCCCACTTACTCTGCAGCCTCCAGAGTCTGGCCCTGGCGAACACCTCGTTTTCTGCTCCCTGTCCAAAGGATGGCTTACAGCAGCCCAGATAAGGAGGGGCGGGGCACCTGGGCACCCAAAACCATGGGTGGAAGGAGAGACAGAAGATTCAGGGCCCAAAGGAAAGAATTTGGGTCACTGTAGAAAAGGCCCCTGATAGTCTGGAACCGCTAGCCCTCTTTGCCCCTGACTCTGTAGCCTTCTGCTAGCCTCTCACCAGTGTATGCCTCAGCTTCCGCGTACCAAGAGTGGTTGTGAATCGAGAGCTAGGGGTCCTTGCCCAGCGCTCTTTCCAAGGACTACTGGCCTGCTGATGAGCCAGCAGGGGGCGCAGCGAACCCAGGCTCCGGTTGCTGTCGCCCCGCCCCTGCCACAATCCAGAGCTTGGACTCAAATTGGGCAGCCCGTCCGCCAAGGCTCTGCCGATTTGCTGCTGCCAGGGCTCCATCCACCTTTGTCCCCAACAAAGGGCTCACTGCTCCCCTAGTGGACATGATGACAACCCCCTTCCCACAGTCGCTGTCCCTGGTCCTTGCCTCTCCATTGCGCTCTCCAGCCGGCCTTATGGGCGCGGCCTGGGGGCGCCGGGGAAGACGGGCGCTGATTCACCGCAGCTCCAGCCTCGGCGGCGTGGTGTGGCCTCGGAGAGCTCATACCTCGCTGCGGGTAGGGCAGGGAGGATGAAAAGGACCTTCTTCGTTAACAACAGGGAACTAAGGCCACCTCTCTGTCCCCTCGCACCTCCAGCCCAGCCCTTAGCATGGATGTCAGAATGGACGATCTGGGGGTTGCTGCGGCCCCTTAACCCTGGGATCCTGGGAATCCTAGCTTGTGGAATCGGGAGCTCCAGGTGCTGGGAGAGCGCAGTGCAGGTCAGAGGACTGTTGCGGCCACGTCAGCAGCTGGAATATTTGCGAGCCGCTGCCACAGGGTACCTGGCGCGGGCGCACAGCTGCAGCCGCGAGCGCACACGGCGTGGCACTGGCACCAGCCCCGGGCCCAAGCCAGCAGCTTGATGTGCGCGATCTGTGTAGCCCGGCGTATGAGACCCGGTGGCCACAAGCAGCCACGGGGCAACGCGTTCCGGCAGTAGGTATGGCGTATCCGGCGAGGCCAGAACACGGGGCCCAGGCGCACCCGCCGGTGGCGCAGAGCGCGCACCGCCTCTTCAGGGGCTCCTGGGCGCCCCCGCTGGCATTGCGCTCCAAGGCGGCCGGCGTAGGCAGCACCCTAAGCCATTTGGCCGAAGTAACGCGCCCTGCCATTAGCTAGCGGCTCGGGGTGCCGCTCGCGTCCGCCGCCATCTGGAAGGGCCGGTAGGCAGCACCAGCAGGCGCAGCAGCAGCACCTCCGGGCTCACGGGTTAATGGCCCAATGCCAGCGACAGGCGGCGCAGGGCCCGATCAGCCGCACTTCTGCCTCCTGAGGGTGGGGGAGCCTGAGAGACCACTCGCACGGCGCGCCGTGCGCGTCCTCTGCGTCGGGCTCCGGGTTCAAGGCTCCCGCCGCCTGCTGGAGCAAGGAGAGAGGTGGCGCCCCGGATGCGCGCGGGGCTCGCCCATGACGTCGCGTTCTTCCTGCCTGCCCCATGGCCCGCCCTGTGGGGTGACCGCGGTCCTCCCGCCCTCCCTCCGGCTCTGCTATCAGCGGCTCAGCCTTGTCCTGCCGGGACAGAGGCCGCCCGTCCAGAGCCCTGCCCTGGGCCAGGGGGAGCCTTTCGGGCTGGAGGCTCCTAAGCGGACGGAAGGTAGTCTTGAGGCTTTTAGGGTTCAGGGTGGTTCTAGACCTCTGACAGTCAAGGATTCTAAAACTTGGGCACACTGAGGCTAGAATCTTACAATTCTGCCTTTCAGTGATCATAACCTACGCTTTTTAAACACATTTTAATTAAAAAAACTTTTTAAAAATGTTTTATTTATTCTTGAGAGAGAGAACATGCGCACGCACACAGGGGAGGAGCAGAGAGAGGGAGACACAGGATCCGAAGCAGGCTCCAGGCTCTGAGCTGTCAGCGTAGAGCCTGACGTGGCCCTTGAACCCACTAACCATGAGAGCATGACTGGAGCCAAAGTCATGAACGAACTGAGCCACCCAGCTGCCGCTTTTTGTTGTTAAAATTTTAGGGGCACCTGGGTGGCTCAGTGGGTTAAGCCTCCGGCTGCAGCTCAGGTCATGATCTCACAGTTCGTGGGTTCGAGCCCCGCGTTGGGCTCTGTGCTGACAGCTCAGAGCCTGGAGCCTGCTTTGGATTCTGTGTCTCCCTCTCTCTCTGACCCTCCCCTGTTCATGCTGTCTCTCTCTCTCTCTCTCTCAGAAATAAATAAAAAAAAATTTAAAAATTCTAAGATTTTAAAGTGTATTTATTTATTGAGAGACCAGAGGAGGGGCAGAGAGAGAAAGCGAGAGAGAATGTCACTGTGGAGCCCAGGCTCGAATCCACAAACTGTGAGATCATGACCTGAGCCGAAATTATCAGTCAGATTCTTAACCACCTGAGCCACCCAGGCGCCCCACATTCTACACTTCTAATTCCTTAATTCAATTCCACTAGCTCTGAATTCCAGACAGTGTAGGCATGATTCCTAATATCTTCTGGTTAGTGGACATCTGCTTCCAAAGATTCGAGGATGCTCTGCATCTGGGGTGAGTGGCATCAGGTTTCAAGAAACTCCTCTGAGCACAGGTGAAAATCCCAGGGGTGTGGGAGGAACTAGCCTGAAGAGTCTCCCCACCTCCCTGCACTTCTTGGGCCTTGAATGCAAGCGCTGATGCCATCAGGGCCCCCTCTGTTTTCTGTCCGCTTTCACAGACTTCCCACTGGCATCCCCCTCAACCCCCCAGCTTCCAGAAAACATTCAGTCCCTGCCGCCTCTTCTCTCCCTTAACTTATTAAACATAAACTTATTATAGAAATATAAACTTATTGCAGACTGTCTTCGGCCCCCACTACACGTGTCCAGTTTTACCAACAACCTTGTCGTGAAATCCAGTGTACGTCTTCCCTCCAAGGGGCCAGTCTCTTTAACCCCCTGGGAGCATTTGGCCATGTGACCTACTCGTCCGGGAGTCCCAGGCACAACCTCATGCACGACTGTATGAGCCAGTCATTTACCAGGACCAACAAACCTCTCTGGCTTTTGCCCAGACAAGAGGCTCCTAATGGGCTGGTCATTAAATCGCTCCCCTTCTGTCCTTTTCACCCCAGGCCATAATAAATGAATTATAAACTAGATGGGCAGATATGTCCCTGATCTGAAAGTTCCATCAGGTCCTCATTGCCCTCAGGCTACAGCCAAACTCTTTGGATGGGCCGCAAAACCCTCCATCTCCAGCCAGGTTGAATCTCTGGGATAAGCTTAGGAATGCTGATGGGCCCCAGGATTCTAAGGGCCTGGGGGAGGCGTCCTATCTGGTCTCCAGAAGAGAGACTCAATAGTCTGGTTTCCTAGTCTAGGACACCCCATTCAAGGTGAGGAATCCTTTCTGGGCTTGGGTTAGAGTTCTACTTGGAGCAGAGAGAGGGAAGATGGAGAGTGAGTCGTTAGGCAGGAGGTGGGAGTATCAGAAATGAATGGGCTGGGCCCTGGGCACGGAGGGGTTAACTCCAGAGTGAATCGCAGAGAATCGATGGGTTACTCGCTGCAGAAAGAGGCAGAAGCAACGCAGAGAGGCTGAAAAGAACCGGGCAGAAGAGCATGCCACCTGGGGGAAATCAGTGACTGAGGAGGAGGAGCAGGAGGAGTGGGGGGAGGAGGAGGAGGCAGCTGCGGCTAGTGGCTACTCCAGAGGGAGTGCTCAAGTCTGGCTCAGCAGAGGAGGTGCCTTAAAGGAGAAGAGGGAGCAGCCCGAGGCAGACCTGCACCTGCTGGGAGGCGCCAAGGGGCAGCCACTGAGCCAAGAGGCAGCCTCCGCCTGACCCATTCACCCAGGATCAAGCAGGGCCCAGTGCCCAGAACAGAGGTGGGTGTTGCCCATTCTGAGCTTCACGGGGGCTTGCTGCATGCTGGGGGCTGGGGGCACAGGTATTGCCTTTCTTCCCTCCTCCCTGCCCCCCCCCCATGCCCTTAATGTGTCCCACCAGCCAGGAGGTCCCAGGCACCAGGGGGATCCACAGGTAGCCGCCGACGTGGGCCATGGTGTGGAGAAAGGGTGAGGGCCGACACAGCGTGCATAAAAGCTTGCACAGTGTCAGAGGCACCACCTGCGACAGGCTGTCGGGTGGGGACTCCAGCCTGGGAGTCAAGGTCCCCACGATGGCAGCAGCCCTGATATCTGCCACGCAAAGTGCGACAGTGGCCTCCCATGTCCCCTCTCTGAGCCTCAGTTTCCTCTCCTGCACAATGGGGGCAGTGACCTATATGGTTTTCCCAGCTGTGCCACTGTGGGGCTCTCACTAAACTGGACCTTACAATGACTCCGGGATAGCACCCATGTTTCGCTGACTTTGACCCATGGCTAAGAGTCTTCCTGAGCTTCCAATCCCCACGGAGAAGGAAGGTAGTAGATACATGAGCAACTTGGGTTGGAGGTGCCCCTCCCCCATCCGCCATGTCCTCACCCCATTCTGCCTGGGGGTGTCCGCCTAATTACCTTTCATGCCCTGAGCTATGGGGGTGATCCCGAGGAAGCTGAGAAACCCACCTCAGACACCTACATGGACTGTGTCAGGCTTGCACCGTGGCTCTGTCTCCCCACTCCCACCCCCATCCGCCATGAGCTTCCCACCCCCCCCCCCCGGGGGGACCTGGCTAGGGGCCTGGACCGAGACCCCCTGGGGTCAAGTGACCAGAGCTGTGGGCTCCTGTCTGAGCACGCCAGCTTCTTCTCCGCAGGTGTCCATCGGATGGAGAGATGTCGGATGCGCAGAACATTTCACTAGACAGCCCGGGGAGCGTGGGGGCTGTGGCAGTGCCTGTGGTCTTTGCCACCATCTTCCTGCTGGGCACGGTGGGCAATGGGCTGGTCCTGGCCGTGCTGCTGCAGCCCAGCCCCAGCGCCTGGCAGGAGCCGGGCAGCACTACGGACCTGTTCATCCTCAACCTAGCAGTGGCCGACCTCTGCTTCATCCTGTGCTGCGTGCCTTTCCAGGCCGCCATCTACACGCTGGACGCCTGGCTCTTCGGGGCGCTCGTCTGTAAGGCCGTGCACCTGTTCATCTACCTCACCATGTATGCCAGCAGCTTCACGCTGGCCGCCGTCTCGGTGGACAGGTGCGCTGTATCTGGGACCCGGCTTGGGTGGGCTGGGGAGGGCAGACCTGGACAGTTCCCTTAGGAAGGAGAGAACAGGGACCAAAAACGGAAGATGGGAGGGAGAGAAGGATCAGCTCTCTGATCCTCCCCCCGCCCCCCCCAACCAGTCTCCGAAGGCCTAGAGAGCGTGCTTGAGGGCACCATCCTGCCCTCCCCGTAACTCCACTGTGAGCTTCCAGAGGACATCCCTGCGTCCTACCTGCCGGCACGGAGCCTGGCACGTAGCAGGTGCTGTCTCCACGTGCCAGGAATGGCCGCAAGAACACACGAATGGATTCATCAGCTATTTCACTACCGCCCACACCCGGCCACGGGGTGTGGTCATACCTGCTTTCGTGGTTCGAAACTTGGGCTCACTCTCTAGCTGACGACCTTGGGCAAGTCCCTTCCCTCCGAGCCTCCAAGCTAACCTTGCGGGGTGCCAGGCACTGTGGCGTGGGGGGGTCCCTTCACCGTCGCAGCCCACGCTACGAGGCCGGTTGCGCCATCGCTCCGCTGTCCCGGCTGTCGTGGACGCGGAAAGCCAGGCCGCCGGCCCATAGGTGTGGGGCGAGGGCGGGGGTGGAGGGGGGGCGGGCGGGGAGCGGGTCCGGGCCGCCCGCCCCGCTGACCCGGAGCCCGCCCGCAGGTACCTGGCCGTGCGGCACCCGCTGCGCTCGCGGGCCCTGCGCACACCGCGCAACGCCCGCGCCGCCGTGGGGCTCGTCTGGCTGCTGGCTGCCCTCTTCTCGGCGCCCTACCTCAGCTACTATGGCACCGTGCGCTACGGCGCGCTGGAGCTCTGCGTGCCCGCCTGGGAGGACGCGCGCCGGCGCGCGCTCGACGTGGCCACCTTCGCCGCCGGCTACCTGCTGCCCGTGGCCGTGGTGAGCCTGGCCTACGCGCGCACGCTGCGCTCCCTGTGGGCGGCCGTGGGCCCCGCGGGCGCGGCGGCGGCGGAGGCCCGGCGCAGAGCCACGGGCCGCGCGGGGCGAACCATGCTGGCGGTGGCCGCGCTCTACGCGCTCTGCTGGGGCCCGCACCACGCGCTCATCCTCTGCTTCTGGTTCGGCCGCTTCGCCTTCAGCCCGGCCACCTACGCCTGCCGCCTGGCCTCGCACTGCCTCGCCTACGCCAACTCCTGCCTCAACCCGCTCGTCTACGCGCTCGCCTCGCGCCACTTCCGCGCGCGCTTCCGCCGCCTGTGGCCCTGCGGCCGCCGCCGCCGCCGCCCCCGCGCCCGCTGCGCCCCGGGCGCCCGCCGCGCCCACCGCCGCGTCCGCCCTGCCGCCGCCGCGGGCCCTGCCGGCTGCCCCGGGGACGCCCGGCCTCGCGGGAGGCTGGCGGCGGGCGGAGGCCCGGGCGGGGGTCCCGGGGAGGAGCCCGCCCGCGCCGGAGAGGCTGGACCGGCCCCGTCTGCCCCGGGACCGGAATAAATCCGGTGCGCCTCCACTCTGCTCGATGACAGTCCTTCGGTCCTTCCACTTCCCCCAAGGCACGCCGCTACGAGGGGATGCGCCAACGCCAGGGGTCCTCTGAGGCGCACTGGCCAAGCTGGGGTCCCCAGCCTCGTGGATGCCCCGGGGCGGTGAAATCGGGTCACCCCTACAAAGCGCAGCCCCCAGACTCTGCCCACCGCCAGTCTGGCGGGAGAGCAGTTCCTCCGCCCGCTCCCACTCCCCCTCCTCCAGCTCGATCAGCACCTTCTAGGCCCTGCTTCCTCAGCCACTCTTTACCAAGCCCCTTCTCCCTTCCAAGCTGTGGCCTGGGTCACGTAACACTTAGCAGCCAATTTAGCAAATAGCCATGAAGCATTTACTGTGTATCTTATGCGGTGCTACGTTCTGCAACCTAATTATCAAAGCAGCTTTGCAAGGTAGGTATAATTAATTCCGTGTCTACAGATACAGAAATCACGAATCAGAGAGGTTTAGCGATGAGGGGCGCCTCGCTGCCTGAGTCGGTGGAGTGCGTGTCTCTTGATCTCGGAGTTGTGAGTTGGAGCCCCGTGTTGGGTGTAGCAATTACTTAAAAATAAAATCTTACAAAAAAAGAAACAAAGAAAGAAAGGGCTAGTGGTTTGTCCAAGCTCACATCGCTGGTGTCTCACAGAGGTTGGATGCAAACCCACCGCTATTTAACTTTTTCCGCTCAGTGGAACCACCTTTTCCATTTTGGGGGGCCTCTGCTCTCAGTCCCCAAGGCTTCCACGGTTTTCCTTGGCTCTTCCTCACTCCTGATCCCGCATCGGCCCTCATTCCTAAACCCGCAGCTCCCACACTTGGCTGGATGTCCGGAAACCTCAGACCGCTCCCGGTCCCCTTCCTTGGGACCGTTCTGTTCAGCACTCAGACCGGCAAGTCCTGACGGGCTTGTCGCAGCGACCGCGGTCCAGGTCCATTCCCTGAGCCCAGATCCCTTGCATTGGTCATTTCAGCCATTTGGTGCTCCCCTGTCAGGTGAGAAACTGAGCCTCGCTCGGGTCCCAGCTGGCCGCTCAGCAGTCCTGGCCGCCCTGTGGGCCCCTCCCTCCTGTCCGTGCACACAGCAGGGTAGCCTGTGACTGTGGAAACCTCCTAATTAACCAATAAATCAGTCCTGACGGTTGCAGAACTACCCAGTTCCCCCCCCTCCCCCCGCCTCACCACGCACCCATGATATTTATTAGCTTCAGGCTGAGGCCTGAGACCTTTTGGCCTCCTGATCTCCCTGGCACACCTCCCACTGCCTGGCACCCTGGGAAGGCCCCACACTTGACAAGTAGGTGGCTGCTGCGTCTTCCCCCACTGCCTGCCACCTGCCGCAGACCCAGGGGTCAGCGTTCTTTCTCGAACATCTCCGCTAAGGTTCCCACGGCTGACTCAGGCCACAGCAGTGGGAGTGTTTCCGGGGCGCCAGAGGCGTGATGAGCCCACTTCCGCGGCCCCCAGTATGGCCTCCACCGCCCGGAGACCCTCACTCACAACCCCGCTGACGCGCCTGTGTCTCGCAGACCAGAGATAGTACCTCCGTCTTCAGAAGTGAGAACTGAGGTTCCAGGAGAGGAGGCAGCTTGACCACAGTCCACTGGCAAATGTGCGGCAGAGCTAAGGTTTTGAACCTGCGCGAGAGCCCAGGCCTGAGGAAGGGGGTGGGTCAGGGGGAGCCCTCCACGTGGCCTGGGTCTCTGCGCAACTGGCTGAGGGAGGGTTGCACAGAACTGGGCCCCCGGCTGGACTTTAGGACCTCCTATTGTTGAAGCAAGTCTCTCTGACCCACCGGCGACAGATCAAGAAGCCCAGAGCGCCTGGGGGGCTCTGTCGGTTAAGCGCCCAACTCTGTGTTTCAGCTCAGGTCATGAGCTCATGGTTCTGTGAGTTCGAGTCCCCAGTCGGGTTCCGCACTGACAGCCTGCATGGGATTATCTCTCCCCCTCTCTCTCTGAGCCTCCCCGCTCGCTTGCATTCACTCTCTGTCTCTCTCTGTCTCTCAATCAATCAATCAATCAGTCAATCAATCGAAGAAGAAGCCTGGAAGCCCCAACTAATGGATGACAGTATAGCCTGGACCAGAGTAGGCACAGAGCAGGTATTTCATACCTGAAGATGGAGATGACCCTTTCCTTCCTTCTTTCCTTTACCCTCCAAACATTTAAGGGGCGCCTGGGTGGCTCAGTCAGTTAAGCGGCTGACTTCGGCTCAGGTCACGATCTCGCGGTTCATGGGTTCAGGCCCCACATCGGGCTCTGTGCTGACAGCTAGCTCAGAGCCTGGAGCCTGTTTTGGATTTTGTGTCTCCCTCTCTCTCTGACCCTCCCCTGCTCATGCTCATTCTCTCTCTCTCTCAGAAATAAATAAAACATTAAAAAAAAATCAAACATTTAAGTGCCTGGCCTTAAGTGATGCCATGAGGGGAAGACAGAAAGGGCAGGAGTTTGACCTGGTCCCTGCCTCCAGGGACTCTCTGGCCAGCTGGAGAGCCAAATATCAAAAGAAGAAAGGAAAGCACCGCGTGATGGGGCCGTAACAGAGCAGCCACAGTTCTGAAAGGGCGCAGAGGAGGAACCTCCTGCCTTCCCGAGCAGTCTAAGCAGGAGTCCCACAGGAGGTGACATTTAATATGCATTTTCCTAAAAAAGGTGAAAAGAGCCTGCCAGGTGGAGCAACAGCCTGTGCCGAGACCCGGTACGGCTAGGAGAAATAGTGGGCTCAGCAGCTGCAGCAGAGCAAGGGGAGGCCAGGAAGCTGGGTGCGGTGAGGTCCCGCCGCCTCCTGGGCCAGCTGAGAGCGGGAACTTCATCCCTCAGGCAGGTGGGGCTGCCATCGGAGGGCTTCAGGATGGGCCGCATCAAGCATGTGGTTAGAAAGCCCCCAGCACTGCTGTGTCGTGGCCGGGCTAGAGCTGCGAGGCTGACGGCCAGGAGCACAGTCTAAAGGCTGCTCTGGAGCCCTTGACCAGGGAGGCTGCCGCCGAGGGCCTGGCCCAGGGCTGGGAAACTGTCTTGCCCTGGATTTGGCAGGAAGACTGATGGCCTGCTGCTGGGCTTGGGCTTAGCCTCGGAGGCTCCTGGGTCTGCCTCAGGGGGCTGATGAAACGTTTGGAAGAGCAGATGGTCGCAGTATTTCGGTTAGCAGAGAGCTGAGAGTCCTGTTGGGTCACAGGCAGGCGCTGGGGGCTGGAGGAGCCCTGGCCATTCTCCAAGGCCCAGAAGAATCCACCAACCTGAGGCCCCTGTAGGATCTCAGGCTGGGCCTGGGGCAGCCTGGGGGGAGCTTCGTTGGAAGGAGGTTTGAATTCTGCAGCCTCCTCACCTTCCTGTTTGTGCAAACCTCTTAGGGACGGGCCTGCAGCGCTCATGCCTCAGCACCTGCAAGGCACAGAGTTCTTCTGCCAGAAAAAAAGGCAGAAGCATGGGGGTTTGGGGGAGCCCGGAAGGCCCTAACCCAGTGTGGGCAAGCAGGGAAGACTCCCTGGAGGAGCTGGTGCCCAAGCCAAATCCTGAAATGGGAGTTAATGAGGGCAGATGGGGAAGGGAAAGGTGAGAGAACATGTGTGCAGGTCACCTGGAGGCGGGCACAGCATGAAGGGCCGGGGGCCCGGAACAGGGTACGGGGGGCCTCGGCAGGAAGCGAGCTGGGAGAGGTGGGGCCGCTTGCCAAGGATTCTGTAAATCCTGTCTGAAACAGAGACTGTCCTTTGTCCTGAGGGCAATAGGGAGCCACTGAAAGGTTGTGAACAAAAGAATAAATTTACCAGATTTACTGGGAACTTTCTGATGCAAGGCAGGCTTTGGAGGGTGGGGGGCCGAATGAGATGGGGGTGGGGCAGGGAGACCAGTTAGGAGACTGGTGTGAGAATCTGGATAGATGAAGGCATCCAAGATGTTGATAGTGGGAGGGGGGGTGTGAACACGCAGGACAAACCCTTACAAGGTACAGTCATTGGGATTTGGGGACTAAAGGTTGGGGGCTGTCCCAGATTACATATCAGACTTCTGGCTTGGGCGACTGGGGGTGGCAGTGGGGAAACAGGGGCACAGGTGTGGGGCTGAGACTTAGGGGCCACAAGACAGGAGGGAGCACTGTAGAGGGTACTCTCAGGCCTTGGACTTGGCCCTGGAATTATGTCTCATCTTTAGAGTTTGAAGATGGAGAAACTGAGGCTCAGAGAGATTAAGTAACCTGCCCAAGATCACAGAGCCAGCCCCAAACAGAGCTGGGTCTACCTTGGGCCTGATTGCATTTCCGTGGCCTTTAAGGGAGAAGAGGCAGGAAGGGGTTGGCTGGAGCAGAAGGAGGAACTTGAATGTGCAAAGGTGACCCCCACCCTCGCTCCACCCTGTGTAACAACTGTAGCCAGGGCTAGAACTCAGCCCTGGGGAGGGCGGGCGAGGGGAGGGCCCTGGCACAGCCACTCACCCCCTCAGCCTGCTTCAGGCTGGCAGGAAGAGCATCATCTATCAACTTTGAGGTGTGTACCTGGGGACATAAATACCAATTAACCACCCCGAGACTTCCTGTTAATGAACATCAGTTCCTCGGCTCTGACGCAGGGCTCATTTGCGAGCTGCTGGCTGGATCCAAGGCGGCGTGAGGCCAGAGAAACAAGCTGTGCAGGGGTGGGGTTGCTTCTGGTTTAAGAGGGCGACACTCTGATTTATTGAGGCATCTGCTTCTGCCAGGTTCAGTGGCTCAGGCTCTGGGTAGGGGTGATACTGAAGCAGGAGGAGGCGTGGCGAGGAGGGGCTTGGGGCAGGGGTGCCAGCTTGGAGTTCCTGGGGTGCTGGGGGGAGGGGGCGCCGGCCTGAACATCTGATTCCCCTGCCAGGTCAACTCAGAGAGGTGGCAAAGTGCAGGGGTCAAGGGACGGACTTTGAGCCACTGTCAGGGTGGAATCCTGACTCCTGCACCTCAGGTCTCTGACCTATCCATGCCTCAGTGACCTGCACTGTCTGCGCGCCAGGTCCCATTCGAGGCAGGCCACCCTGGGGTGCTCACTGGCTGCTACTGACTGTATGTGACATTGCCAGGCGGGTCCTGGTCTCCAGCAAACCCCCTCACAATCGAGCCGAGGAGGCGTGACTTACCCACGTCCGCCCCTCTGGGCGCGCCGACCACCAAGTGCCATCCTCTCAGGCTTTCAGAGTGGGAGGAAGTCACCAGGCTGGCACGGACCAATCACAGGGACAGGAGAACATCCTGGGCCCTAGGCTGGGGCTTCGGGAAAGAGGTCTTTGCTTCCCTGAGCCTGTTTCCTTATGTATAAAATGAGTTGATCATATCATATCTCCCTGAAGCACTGGGGCCAGTGCCAGGGGGGAGGGGCTATGTGTGACTCCCTTTGGGAGCCAGAGCTGGGGTAGAGGTGCCGGGGACTTTGTTGGGATTGTCCAGGCATCAGTCCAGCTTCCTGACCTCCTAACCTCGCCTTGGGCTCAGCATCTGAAGCGGTCCGGGACGCAGGCAGTGCTGGCAGGGAGAGTGTTTTCTCCCAGAGAGACTAGACTTTTCCCTGGAGCTCATGGTGCCTGCTCTGGGTAAGAATGCACCTGACCTTAGGGGTGGAGGGGACAGCCTGCCTCCCCTGGTTTCTGCCTCCAGGACAAATCTGCAGACCTCAGGACCTCTGCAGTCTCGTCCCCCCTCCCCCTGCTGGCCGGCCTCTCCCTCTCCTGGGTCTGGCACTTTCCAGGGAGTCTCCTGGTCCCACAGCCAGCTCACACCTATCCTCCAGCCTCCAGGCCTGGTTCATGCTGCTTCGTCCACACCCCCCTCCCTCCCAGCCCTCCAGCCACCCTGGAAGGCTTGTCATAATTAAGGCAACCACCAAAGTTCAGCAAGGACCCCCTAGCCCCGCCTCCTCACACTGTCCTTTCTCTTACCCCCAGGTGACCAGAGGCCTGCCATGTCCACCAAGCACACTGTATCATGTATCCAGCGAGAAAAGGGCCAGACCCTCCCTACACCCGGGACTGGTCACGGAGACAGAGATGTCACCCAGTAGAGACCGCCGTCGGTTCATACTGACTGCGTCCCAGGGGACGCGGGTGGACATTGGTACTTTGGCAACCTTGGCAGAGATTGTTAGGCCTGGGCTGGGACACCCCCACCCCCACCCCCCAGCACCGGCTACCCGACCTCAAGCAAGCTAGCTGCAGCTAGATGTTGGCTGGCTGACATTTTACAGCAAACGCGAAGTCAGAGGACTTGTATAAAGGGGCTGCTGGCACATGGTAGGAACTCAGCCGATGCCCTCGCCCTTAGTTTTCGGGAACTCTGCTTCGGAGAAGGCTCTGGTTTCAGGCATGGTGGAAACAGCGTGAGGGTTGGGGGCTGATCCAGGTTCCAGCCCAGCTGTCCAGTTGGATCCGCCTGGCAAACCTGTATTTTCTCGCTATCAGAAGCAGCAGCAAGGCTAGTCATCCCAAATAATGGTGGTGAGAAGCTGTGAAAATGCTTCTCCAAGCACTTACCGCTAACATGAACGAAATGTGAAGGTATAAAGCAAAGGACCCGCCCCAGAAGGTGAAATCAAAGGACAGCCGTGGATTTCTTCTTTCTGCCAGCCCCCACGTCCTCCCCCCCCCCCCCGCGCCCCCTGCCCAGCTCAGCCAGCTTAGGGCCCACTTGTGTGCTCTCTGACTCACTCCAGTGTCTCGGGCTGACTTTAATTGACTGGCTCTTTAGACAGATTTGGGGCTGCAGACATTTCTCGGCTGGAAATGGGGTGAAGCAGACTGGCTGACTGCCTGGCCGCCTGGTAAGTGTTTGACGACTGGCCTGTATGGCTGGGGAGGGAGTGGACAATAACCCCTTCGCTTGTCCCAGTGGCGCATTCTCGTGGTTATGTGGCTCCAGGGTCCGGAGTGGGTGGGAGGGGCAGCACCCGGATGGAGGAGGGCGCAGGGATGTAGCCTGCTTCCCAGGTGGGGATGGCTTGGTCCCGGCCAAGGGCTTGTTAGGATTAGCCAGTGAGTCTCTGTCAGGCTGTTCTAGAAACACCTGAAGTCATCTCAGGGCAATTTCATAAAGTCCCAGAACCCTCCAGAGTCTCAGTTCTGCCAACGCAAAGCAGGCTGCCCTGGGGGATGACTGGTCTCAGAAGTACTTGGGTACTTGGGTACCTAGGATGCCCTTGGCCGGCCTCTTACCTCTCTGCTCCGTAAGTTCTTTTTTTCTTCTTTTTTAATTTTTAAGTGTTTATTTTTTAATGTTTATTTCTTTTTCTTAATGTTTTTTAAAATTTATTTCTGAGAGAGAGAGAGACAGCGTGAGCAGGGGAGGGTCAGAGAGAGAGAGGGAGACACAGAATCTGAAACAGGTTCCAGGCTCTGAGCTGTCAGCACAGAGCCCGAGCGGGGCTCGAACCCACGAAACGCGAGATCATGACCTGAGCCGGAAGTGGGACTCTTGACCGACTGAGCCGCCCAGGCGCCCCTGCTCCTGAAGTTCCGTAGCAAGAGCTCCTAACTTTTTCTGAGTGTGGACCCTGGTGAAAATGAAAGCTATGGCCACTTTTGTCGGAAACACACATGCACACTCTTCACACAAAATCTTGCAGTTTGCCGGGTGCGTGCCTCTCCGAGAGCCCGTTTACTGAAGCCCTTGGCCCTGAAGCCGAGAAACAGCCTCAACTCTCCGCAGGGTGATGAGCCCCAGGGGATGGGAATGTAAGGAGGCCCAGAGAAGCAGGTCCCAAGAGAATGTGGGCCCACCGACTTTGAGGTCCACTTCCTCCCACCCCTGCCTCCCCTTTGCCTTGCCCCTCTCCTGCCCAGTCCCACCCCTGGGGCCATGGGCCAAGCATGGGGCACCAGCCTGGCAGAGCTCCTGGAGAGGGCGGACTCAAACGTGCTCCTAGGCCTGAGGGGGCAGGGTTCCTTCGAGCCAGAAAAGCCGCCCACCCCCCTTACTTCTCCCACTCGCTGCTCTCCTCACTCCGCGCGTGTCTCCTTCCTCGCCTTTCACAGCCCGCCCCTGCCCTCAGCGCGCCCTCCCCCAGCGCCCCTGCCCTCAGCGCGCCCTCCCCCAGCGCCCCTGCCCTCAGCGCGCCCTCCCCCAGCGCCCCTGCCCTCAGCACAGCCCTCCCTCAGCGCGCCCCTCCCCCAGCACCGCCCTCCCCCAGCGCCCCTCCCTCAGCACCGCGCTCCCCCAGCGCCCCGCCCCTCAGCACCGCCCTCCCCCAGCGCCCCGCCCCTCAGCACCGCCCTCCCCTCTGTCCTCCCCACCAGCATGGGGTCCCTCCCTGATGGCGCCCCTCCCCCACGGTACCCCTCCCCTCAGCACCCCCTCCCTCACGGGGCTCCCCCTCTCTGCGCGCTCCTCCTCTCACTCAGCCACGTGGACAGGCAGGCTGTTTACTCCTCGGCAGCACCTTGAGCTGCGGGGGAAACTTGTTTGCTGCCTCTGGCCCTCTCTCTACCCCACAGCCTTGGGGCTAGCACACTTTCCCTTCCCCACCCCTGCCCTGCTGGTGGGGCTTCTCCTCACAGGGTCCCCCGAAGGCGGCCGCAGCCTGTATCTGCCACCCACCGAGGCCCTTTTCTCTTTAGGGTCTGGGGAGCAGCGGGGTTCCGTGGGTTCCATTCGGATCTGATCAAGCTGGGCTGTGGGGGACAAGCTCCCCTCTGAAGAGTAGCCGGGGCCCCAATGTGGTGCGAGGGCAAGCGGGGCCCAGCCAGGGTGGACGTGGATGGTGATGGGGGGAAAGTCTGTCTTTACTCTGCAGTCAGTGCCTTGGAGAAGGAGAGGGCCGGGCCGTGCGGCCCCGTCTTGGGCAGACCCCCGCCTTCTGCGCGCCCACTGCCCACAACCCCGGCCAGTCGGCTTCTGCAGGGCAGGGGCTGGGTACCTCCCTGACGGGCGAGTCCTGCGCCTCCTCGCGGCTGCGGCAACATGTCCACAAACTGGGTGGCTTAAAACAACACAGATTTATTCTTTCAGTTCTGGCGGTCACAATTCTAAAACTCAGACTCACTGGGCTGAAGTCCAAGGGTCAGTAGGGCTGGTCCCCTCAGGGAGAGCTGAGGGGAGAATCTCATGTCCTTGCCTTTTCTAGCTTCTGTGGGCGCCTGCGTTCCTCCTCTGACCCCTTCCGGCTGGGTCCCCTCCCTCCTCTCCTCCCTCCTGCTTTCCTCGCCGAGGGGTCCCTGTGATTGCATCAAGCCCTCCTAGGTAACCCAGGAGAGTCGCCTTGTCCAAAGATCATGCATTTAATTACATCTGCAAAGTCCCTCTTGCCCCATAAAGTCACGTTCACAGGTCCCTGGGATGAGAACGCGGCCAGCTCCCCAGGGGCCTCTTTGCGGCCCACACAACCAGGCCGCAGATCGAACCGCTAGGCCCTCCTGGTATTTCAAGGATTGGGAGAAGAAGGCGGGGGGCTTCTGTGCCTTGGGGTCCTTCCAAACCTCGTATTTCTAGGCTCTAGGCTTCACCCACCCTCCCTGCCATCCGGAGAAACTCACGGCAACGTCTCCTTGAGTCAGGTGACAAGTCAGTCTAAATCTAAGTGCTGGTGAGAGATGCAGGGCCAGCCAAGAAGCCCCCGAGGGTGCCACACCGTGCTGGCTGGCTGCCACATGCCGGCGGCCGGAAGGGACACAGAGGCGGCTCTGGGGCCTGCCGAGGGGGCCGGGGGAGGGGGCCCACGAGACGCGTGAGGCCTGCTAGGACAGTGCGTGGCGGCCAGAGCTGTGTGGCTGCGGTGCTGCGGGAGCGGAGGAGGAAGTGGGGAGCTGCGGTCCCGGCCCGCAGAGATGACGGAGACCACCGTGGCCGCGAGTGGCGCTGATGTCACTGAGCCCCTGTGAGAGCGCATCTCCGCCCCACGGCATCTGGGGGCAAGGGCCTCACCAGACAGCGGGCAGCTCCAAGGTCCCAGGTTTGGGCTTTTCCTCTGTAATGAGCGAGCAGCGGGGGCAGGGGTGGGGCAGCGGCGGCCGAGCAGGAAGGCAGGGGGCCTCTCTCGCTACCTCTTCTCCAGGTTCTGCATCTGCAGGCTGAGGGATGTGAAGCTGGCCAGGAGGTCGGTCACCTCATCCACCTGCGGGACAAAACCACGGCTCTGTCACAGGAGCCACGACAGGCCCAGCCGTCCTGGCCCCCTGATCTCCACCCCCCTGATCTCCGCCCCGATGCAGCGGCCTGGGGAGGGCAGCCTTTGGCTCCCGGGGCACGTGGTGGCCTCACTGATACCGAGCAGCTGTCCAACCGATAGTCCTTGACTCCAGGTGGCCTCAGACTGTCCCAGAGAGAACGGCCACAAGTAGCGTCAAAGGAAGCAGACAGAGGCTTTGAGGTCCCCAGCGGGCTACAGCCCCGCAGCCGTGGCCTCTTTCTACACGAGTGTCTGGCTGCATCACAGCAGGCCGGGCCTGGCCCGAGGCGCCTGCCAGGCTCCGGGTCCGGCCCTGTCGCCGCGGCTCACCTGCTCTTTGGTGCTGGTCATCTGGAGGCGGGTGCAGAGGTCGTCCAGCCGCTCCCGCTGCTCGTGCCGCCCCAGGCGCTCCAGGTACTCCCTCAGCATCTGGATGATCTGGAACGAGGGGCTGGGCTGAGGCACTGGGGGTCTAGCCAGGAGGCACTGACACAGCCACCGCCGCTGCCGCCACCACCGCTGCGAGGCCCCGGTAGAGCAGCGGCCGAACGGGGTCGGTTTGGAGCAACCCAGGCGCCCGAGTGCTAGAGGCTGGCGTGTCCGCGGTCACGGCGGCCCCTGCCCCGCGCTCGTTTGTGCTGTTGGCTCAGCATGAAGGGCACTCACCTGCTTCACCTCCAGCCGCACGGCCTCCAGGCACTGGGAGTGGCCCTCCTGCAGGATGTTCAGCTTGGACTTGGCCAGGTGCAGGGGCGTGCGGCCAGCTCGGTCCAGGGCATCCACGCGGGCCCCTGCGGAAGCAGGCGGAGGTGAGCACACTGCGGGTGAGGGCGGGAGAGGAGGGGAAGGGGCGGGGGGCACATACCTCCTCGCAGCAGCGTGGTGATGACAGGGACGTGGTTGGTGCAGGCCGCTGAGGAAGAACAGGGACCTGAGAGTCCAGGACACCAGGGCTTGGCCCCGGGCGCCGGGACTGGGACTCCGGGGAGGTGCCTGCACCAAGGCACCAATGGGGTGGGTCCAACTCCCTCCCTGTACGGCTGGGGAGACAGAGGCTTGGGGACAGGACCTGCCTTACCACGAGCCACAGTGCGGGTCGGCCACAGGGCAGGGACAGGCTGCGGGTCTCACCTTCCCTGGCAGAGCTCTGCTGAGCCATGGAGGTTGCTAAAGCAGCCGTGCTTGGGGCCCAGCCAACTGGTGACCCAAGGGGAGGTCCATGGGATGCAGAGTGCGGGGCGCTGTGCGGCCCCGGGGGCTCAAGCTCTCCCCAGGGGACAGGAGGTCCTGCTGGGAACTTAGGCCCCCCCGGCTCTCCAGCAAAGGAGGGACAGGTGTCCTGGGGGCTTACCCAGGTGCAGCGGCGTGTTCCCCAGCCCATCCCGCTGGTTGGGATCAGCTCCGTGGTCCAGGAGCAGCTGCACTGGAAACAGGAGAACCCACGAGGTGTTGTGGGACTTCTACGGACTGGACTCTACCCCCCACCCCTACCCAGCTGAAGAGGCTTCCTCAAACTGAGGAGCACTGAAAGCAAACACGGTTCCTAGGTTGTTTCAGTCATTCATCCATGCATTCACTTATTCACTCACGGGGTCCATGTGCAGGATTCTGAGGGCCAGGAGCTAAGGATTCTGGGAGAGCCTCCTGGCCTAGGCAGGTTTGAAAAGACAGATTTTTAAAAAATGTTTTTTTCTTTATTTATTTATTGACAGAGAGACAGAGCATGAGTGGGGGAGGGACAGAGAGAGACACAGAATCTGATGCAGGCTGCAGGCTCTGAGCCATCAGCACAGAGCCCTATGCCGGGCTTAAACCCATGAACCATGAGATCATGATCTGAGATAAAGTGAGGCGCTTAACTGACTGAGCCACCCAGGTACCCAAAAAGACTGAGATTTTAAGGGTTAAAGAATGTTCTTCTGGGGCTCCTGGGTGGCTCAGCCGGTTAAGCGTCCAACTCTTGATTTCAGCGCAGGTCATGATCTCACGGTTCGTGGTTTGTGAGATCAAGCCCTGCATCGGGCTCTGCGCTGATAGTGTGGAGCCTGCTTGAGATTCTCTCTCTGCCCTTCCCCTGCTTGCTCACTCTCTTTCTCTCTCAAAAATAAATACCCATTTTAGGGGCGCTTGGGTGGCTCAGTCAGTTGAGTGTCCGGCCTCAGCTCAGGTCATGATCTCACAGTTTGTGGGTTCGGGCCCCGAATCGGGCTCTGTGCTGACAGCTCAGAGCCTGGAACCTGCTTCAGATTTATGTTTCCCTCTCTCTCTGCCCCTCCCCTGCTCATGCTCTCTCTTGCTCTTGCTCTCAAAAATAAATAAACATTAAAAAATAAATAACCATTAAAAAAAAAACAAAAGAAAATTCTTCCAACAGCAGTGGCTACTAGTAAAGGCTCTCAAGGGTATTTTCTGGTCTTTCCACAGCCAAGTGCCATCGTGAGAATTAGGCCCATAGAAGATGCTGACCATCACCCTCCCTGAGTCTCTGTGCCATCTCAGAGGTAGGCCGTGGTACAGAGGGCTTATCAGTTACCCAGATGGATAGGCAGGCAGACTAACTCATGCGACAAGGTCAGGTTCAGCAACACACCACATGTAGAAACTAATACAAGAGGTACCGTAGACCTAAATGTACAAGCTGAAAGTCAGGTTTGTAGAAGGAAATAAGAGAATATCTCTATGACCTTGGGATAGGCCACAGAAATCCTTAAATAGGTCAAAGAAATGCTAACCATAAAAAAGAAAAGATTGATCAACTGGATTTATTAAAGTTAAGAACTTGGGTTCTTTGGGGCACCTGGGTGGCTCAGTTAGTTAAGCGTCCCACTTTGGCTCAGGTCATGATCTTACGGTTGGTGGGTTCGAGCCCTGCATCGGGCTCTGTGCTGACAGCTCAGAGCCTGGAGCCCCGCATCGGCCTCTCTGTTGTCAGCACAGAGCCCCCTTCAGATCCTCTCTCCTCTTTTCTACTCCTCGCCTCCATACTCTCTTTCAAAAATAAATAAACCTTAAAAAAATTTTGTACAAATCAATAAGAAACCACCAGGCAGCTTGTTTTACAAAAGAGGGGGCGCCTGGGTGGCTCATTTGGTTAAGCGTCCAACTTCGGCTCTGCTCATGACCTTGCGGCTCATGGGTTTGGGCCCATGAGCGTTGGGCTCTGTGCTGACAGCTTGGAGCCTGGAGCCTGCTTTGGATTCTGTGTCTCCCCCTCTCTCTCGGTCCCTCCTCTGCTCGCGCTCTGTCTCTCCCTCTCTCAAAAATAAATAAACATTAAAAAATTAAAAAAGTAAAACCACACAGGAAAACTAATCTATGGCACAGAAGGTCTACATGGGGCTAAGGACCCAAAAGGGCATCAGGTAGGCTGCTAGGGTGCTGAAAATATTCATTTCTTTTTTTTTTAAGTAGGCTCTATACCCAATGTGGGGCTTGAAGGATCGTGACCGTGATCACGTGATCAAGAGTCACTCGAGCTATGGCCTGAGCCAGCCAGGCATCCCTGAAGATATTCTTTATCTTGATCTGGGTGGTGGTAACCTCTAGGGAGATGCTGCTTGTCCAGCTCCCTTCCCTCCTCCCCTCCTCCCTCCCCTGGGGACTCACCGATCTGGTCATTGCCATTGCAGGAGGCAAAGTGTAGAGCTGTGCGGCCCTTGTCATCAGCTGCACAGGGATCCGCGCCATCTTCCAGCAGCTGCTGCACTGACACCGCCAAGATGGAGGGAGGCAGGGCGACAGAGAGTAGTGTTAGTTAGGCTGCCGCCCTTGGGAGGGGAGAGTTTTGCTCAGGGACCTTGCAGGCACGGTACCAAGAAGCCACGGGACAGCGAGCTCCCCCAGGATGCCAGCCTTGCAGGGAGTGTCATGACAAGGGACTTTTGCTCCTGAGGACACAACTGAGAACCCCGGATTCTGGCTGCTCAGACTGTGTGTCAAAGGTTAGGACATCATAGAAGGATCATGGCCCTCGGCGTCAGGAGTTCCAGAATCCCAGAAATCCTTAGCACAGACTTTGGCCCCACATCCATTTGGATACACACCCTTTCCAGCTGGACGCGGCGGCCCAGGCTGTTGGGCGGTGCTTCCTTGGCTCCTGAGAGGTGGCCCTTTACAGTGAGCGGCCAGGGCACCGGTTTGGAGCCACAAAGACCTAAGTCCCAGGCTAAGCTGAGTAACGAAGAAAGGAGAACATTGCCGACAGCAAGGGGCAGTGGGGAGAGCTGGGCTCGGAGTCGGAAGGCCTGAATCTGGGTCCCAATTCACCAGCAAATGGAAATCATCTCCCCCCTGCCCGTGTCCACAGCTGCTGTAATGACTGTAATGGATGTGACATTTCTTCTTTGCGAAGGATGGAGCCATTATAAAATGGGAGGCATTATGTGACGTGTGTGTCCAACAGAAATGTAAAAACTGCCACCAAACATCATCATTATAGAGCATCTGACGCTTTAGTCTCCGCCAGCGGACCTCTCGAGGACTCCCGACGAAGCCCGGAATCTCCTCCCCCCTCTTTTTTTTTTTTTTTTTTTAATGTTTTATTTATTTCTAGGAGAGAGAGAGGGAGACAGCGTGAGCAGGGGAGGGTCAGAGAGAGAGGGAGTCACAGACTGAAACAGGCTCCAGGCTCTGAGCTGGCAGTCAGCGCAGAGCCCGACGCGGGGCCCGAACCCACAAACCGCGAGATCATGACCTAAGCGAAAGTCGGACGCTCAACCGACTAAGCCACCCAGGCGCCCCATCCTCCCCCCTCTTTCACGTCAAGGTCAGGTTAGCCGCTCCATGAGCCGCGCCCTCAGTGCTCCGGTCACCTCTACTGTAGCAGGACTATGCTGTGATTTTGGATGTGTCCCTGTACACCGAGCACTAGCCTGGCGCCAGAGACCTGACTGCTGAGCCCGGTGACCCCCCAGCCAGGCATCGTGCCCATCACACCAACCAGAAGGAGAGCCCCATTCGGTGATCTGCCCCAGGTGTATTCACCCAGCTACCAGGAGGCAGGGCTGTGACACAAACCCAGACTTCTCGGGTCTCTCCGCTCCAGAACTTAGGCGTCTCTAACTAAATACATCACTTCGGTTTTGGGGGGGGCCGTTTTCTTTTGGAGACGGGATCACTTTGTATTCTTTTTCTCGGGTCATATTGTAGGTTTTTTGATTTCGTTTATTTTCCTTAATACCTAGGATCAAGACAGGACTTGTTCAGCTCCGTGAAGGTTGTTGACTGACTGAATGAAGGCGGCAGGAAAAGGTTTAGGGGAGTAAAGAGAAATAAGAGCTTCGGGCCATCTCAGTACCTTCACCAAAAGATAGACAGTATCAAAGAGAAAAGACAAAGCTAAAATAAGACAAAGCTGAAAGAGTACATTCTCTTTTGCGATTTGTGCAGGTGTGGTCTTTTTGGTTGGTTGGGTTGGTTGGTTACTTTCTTTTGAGAGAGAGAGGGAGAGAAAGAGCATCCAAGTGGGAGAGAAAGAATCTCAAGCAGGCTCCATGCTCAGTGGGAAGCCCCATGCAGGGCTTGATTCCATGACCGTGGGATCATGACCTGGACTGAAATCAAGAGTCGGATGCTTAACTAACTGACTGAGCCATGCAGGTGGCCCATGCAAGTATGATCTTTTTGGAAAGCACTACACTGGTATCTATCAGAAGCCATCAAAATATGCCTGTCTTTTGACGCGATAACCCCATACCTGGGGAATTATCTTAAAAATAAAAAACCATTGTGCAAATATATAACTAACTAAATAACTTTTGCTTTGTCCCTCTGAAGGCATGATAGGCGTCCCTTAAAAGTTGCTGTGGGGCACCTGGGTGGCTCAGTCACTTAAGTGTCTGACTTCAGCTCAGGTCATGACCTTGTGGTTCATGGGTTCAAGCCCCACATCACGCTTTGCGCTGATGGCATGGAGCCTGCCTCGGATTCTCTGTCTCCCTCTCTCTCTGCCCGTCCCCCACTCATGCTACCTCTCAAAAATAAGTAAATAAACACAAGAATAAAAAGCTTTTAATGTTTATTTATTTTTGAGAGAGACAGAGCGTGAGCAGGGCAAGGGCAGAGAGAGGGGGAGACACAGAATCCGAAGCAGGTTCCAGGCTCTGAGCTGTCAGCACAGAGCCCCATGTGGGGCTTGAACTCATGAACTGTGAGATAATGACCTGAGCTGAAGTCGGATGCCCAACCGACTAAGCCACCCAGGCGCCCCTGAAAAAAAAAAAGCTTTTAAAAAAATTGTGGTTATGGTTGGAAAATGGAATGCTAAGGTGATTTTTGCTTTTTACCTTGTAAGCTTAGGGAAAAAACACATACAGCCATGTACTCATTCATTCTATAAATGGAGAAAATGCTGTTTCCATTTTGAGAAAACAAGTGGTTACAAAGACCGTGAAAAATTACCCAGGCTACAAAATTGTGTATACAGCACAGTTTGCAAGCCTATAAAGAAAATTTCTCTGTATAGGAGAAAGGATGGGAAGGATGGTCCCCAAAATATTAAGAGATTCTTTCTTTTTGCTGCTTATGGACGTTTTTCCTGTGTATTTCTCTTAACTCCCAAACATTTTAAATGTGTACATAATTTTCATACATATGAAAATATTTTATGATTTAACAATAGCAGGACATCAAGGGGCGCCTGGGTGGCTCAGTCAGTTAAGCGTCCGACTTTGGCTCAGGTCATGATCTCAGGGTTCCTGGGTTCAAGCCCCACATGGGGCTCTGTGCTGACAGCTCAGAGCCTGGAGCCTGCTTCGGATTCTGTGTCTCCCCTTCTCTCTGCTCCTCCCTAGCTCCTGCTCTGTCTCTCTCTCTCAAAAATAAACAAACATTCAAAAAAAATTTTTTTTAAATAGTAGGACATCAATTTTATGCCCGCTGTAATTGCTAAGGTACAGCCAAAACCCAATAAGTGTGCAGAGAAGGGAAAGGAAATGCTGACCATAAAGAGAAAAGCCCTACAGCCTGTGTCACCGTCCGTCTTGCAAGAGCCTGGTAAACCTAAGAGCCATTTAGATTTGCAGTCACATGCTCTACCAAGAACCATTTAGATTTGAAGATGAGTGTGTGAGAGTCAGACTGGAAAATTCCAGCACTTCTCTCAAAATAATGAAACCACCAACCATGTGAGTACCTGATTCAAGATGAACTAGGCTTTCTGGGAAAGGGACGTGTAATTCAAATGCTCTCTCGCCCCACACTTGGAGATAGTAAAAAGAGAACACTTATCATTTTTTCCTTAGAAAGCTAGCTAGGTTGCTGCTAAATATTCCAAAATATTAAAGCTCAGGCAAAAGGGACTAGAGTGAAGAGAGCTGAAAGGCTCTCCGGTTTCCAGGCCTGCTCACGAGGCTACGCCAGGGGTAATGGAACCATTTCAAGGCCCGGGGTTTAATGCCCAGCCCCCTGAGGTAAACGACTTCCTCTCAGCGCTGGCTGTACCTGGGCTCTCGGAGCCCACGGCCCCCGCCTATGCTCACATGGTTATCTGTTGACCACAGCATACCACCAAAATGGAAAGAGATCTACTCGAGGTAGGCAGCATCACTTGCCTGGGGGGATCAAGATGTTTGAGCCCTAATCCTCAGAGTTTATTGGATATGTTACTTTACGCAGCAAAGAAAGATTTTGCGCATGTGAATAATGAGGGACCTTGAACTAGGAATATCGTCGAGAATTATTCAGACCCAAACTAATCAAAGGAGTCCTTAAAATCGGAGAACCCCAACCAGGGAGTCAGCAGCCTGAGGGTTCAGGCTACTGTCGATGACCTTGAAGGTGGCGGGAGAAGACTACAGGCCAACGAATGTGGGTGGCCTCTATCAGTTGAAAAAGGCAACGAGACCATTTTCTCTAGAGTCTCCAGGAAGAAATGCAGCCCTGCTGATACCCTGCGATTCTTGGTGTTGTATTTCTGACCTGCACAACTGAAGGCTAAGAAATTGGGGGTGGGGGGAAGGTGCCTGGGTGGCTCAGTCGACTTCCGCTTCCGCTCAGGTCCGGGTCTCGCGGTTTCTGAGTTTGACCGCCCCCTGTCGGGCTCTGCGCTGGCAGTGCAGAGCCCACTTGGGATCCTCTCCCCCACGCCCCTCCCCTCCCCAGATAAAAGAACTAAACTCAAAGAAAAAAAATAAAAGACAGACATTTGCGTTGTTTGAAGCCACTCTTGTTTGTGATAAATCTGTTGCAGCAGCCATAGACCACTAATGTACGGATAAAAATTGAATGTTTTCCCTAGAACTTGTCCTTGTACCTCTGATGCTGTCACTGCCCCGCCAGCCAATGAACACTGGAGAGCACCAACCAAACACCAGAGTGGTGTCCGGCTCGGAGCCCCTTCCCTTCTCTTCACGTGTCCTTTGAGAACCACCGACCCAACTACCCCAGAGCCTCACTGAGCAGCTGAAGGTGGTGCCTCTGTTCAGATGGGGACTCTCCCGGGAGTTAAAGCCGACTTGTTTGTTCCCATTAGCCAGAAGTTCTAGAAAGCTCCTACCCCATTTGCCGGGTGCCAGGGATACGAAAGCATGGTCCCAACATCAGGGAGCCCATAGGGCGATGAACGTTATGACATCGGGGCGTTCAGGGTGACAGGGATGCATGGGCAGAGTAAGCATGTAAGCCAGACTCTAACTTTTGCAAGTTAATTACAGTCATACAATATATACAAGGAGCCTGGTCCAAGGGGTGAGCTGGCATACTGAATTCAAGCACTGTCTTCCCAGCAACCGGCTGCCTCGATTTTTCTTTCTCTAGCCCAGAGAGCCAGCCCTGCTTTGCACACTCACCTGTTTCCACGTCGTTGGCATTGGCCGAGTCCCTCAGCCTCTTGAGGGCTGCGAAGAGAGTAGGAGAGTTCCAGTTAAAAGTAAAGCAAAGCAAAACAAAACAGTCATGAAGAAGCAGAAAGTGGATGGCTTCCTAGCTAAGCCACCGTTCACCCCCGATAGCATCTGAAGGGACACAAGGGCACCAGGATACAAGAGACACTACCCTGGGGACAAGGTAAAAACTTGAAATGTGGCACCACCAGTGTAAAAGACACATTCTGTCGTAAATCCTTCAAGGCCTTAGGAGTCAGCTCTTGGCTCTGCCACTTAAGGGAGCTGGGTGACCTTGAGCAAGTTAATTAACCCTCCTGGGCCTCAGATTTATCACCAAGGGGGGTGAGGTGGGGGGGTGGGGGTGGAATTGAGCTCTGTCTTCACAGCCCTGAATTGTTGCACATACAAAAATGAAATGTTTACACAGAAGCTCCTTGTGAGTAGGCCACATAGATAATCTTATATTCTCCCAAACAGGCCATTCCCAAATAACTTACTTACGTTTGGTAATTCCTAAGCAGAACTGTTTTTCTCCTACAATGATACTACCCGATGCCTTTGTCTTCAGAGAAATGGTCAAAATTGCGACCCAGATACATGTAATGCTTCCTTATTTTTATAGAACACTTTGTGGTTTGGGTGGTACTTTTGAATTCTCATTTAATCTTTTAGCACGACTGAGATATAGGTGGAATCACAGAGAGTCCTAAAAGGACAAAGTTCCCATTCTTAAATCTTCAGGGCCTTGGCTTCCACGTCATCCACAAAATTTAAAAAAATACAATGGACATACTCGGGTAGGAATTTGAGTCTGGCTGACATGGGGTTCTAATTCCAGCACAGCCACTTTCTAGGTATGTGACTTGGAGCAAGGCAATCTCTCTGAGCCTCAGTTTCCTCTTCCATATAATGGGAACGGTATCTGAATCTCATGGAGTCATTGTGAGGATCAGAAATGATCACATACCGCCCCGCAGGGTTTGGTAGACAACAAAAGCAGAGTGATCACTACATGGTCATCTCAACTCACCAAGCATCCCCATAAAGCAAGTACTGTGCTCATTTTACAGATGCGAAAACTAAGGCTGTTAAAGTTCTATCGTTTGCAGAAGGCTTCACCGAGGTAGAGGAATCCAGACCCGGTCTGTGCATTTAAATAAGTGGGTAAAACTTGGCTACAGGCCCTCTGATAATAAAAGTAGTCTCCGCTACTCCGTTTTATTACCTACTAATAAACGCCTGGAGTCATGAAAAGTTTCCATTCAGGAATTACCAAGTGCTTAAAGACTGTTTCACGTTCACGGTCCTTGGCAGCTCTAACATCCCGATTCCTACTAAAAGGAGACGCGATTCGGGGGTCGCTGGGGGGGGGTGGGGGGCTGAGCTCAGCCGTCTGAGGACCCCGTCCGGAGGGATCCGGGGAGGGCAGGCCCCCCGGGGTGTCGGCGGAGGACCGGCCCCGCCTCCGGCCGCGCTCCTCACCGTGCACCTCCTTGCCCGTGGGCCCGAGTCGGCGGTGGGGCCTGGCGGCGCGTCTCAGCCGGCCGGCAGGGATCTTACAGCGCAGCTCATCGCGGGGCTCCGCATCCTGCTGCCACAGGACGTGCAGGTAGCGCAGCGGGGACTGGGCCCCGCCAGACGCCCGTCCGGGGAGGCCCGCGCCGCCGCCCAGGGCGGACCCGAAGTCCGCGAAGGAGAAGAGACCCTCGGGGCCCGTCAGCGGCTCCGGCGCCACGGCGCACTCCCCGTCCGAGCTCGAACGGCCCGAGCGCGGCTCGTCGTCCGCGCCCCCGGCGGCGGCTGCCATGGCAACGGCTCTGCGCGGGCCCGGCCGCCGGAGCCTCGTTCCCGACCGACCAACCGACCCGCTTCCTCCGCCCTTAGCCTCGCTGTCAGCGGGCGAGCAGGCGGGTCCGGCCTGCAACCACGGCAACCGAAAGGGAGGGCGGACTCTTGTCGCGAGCAGCCAATCGGGCACAGTTCCGGCTGTAGAATTGGGTTCCGGCAGCGTGATTGACGGACACAGAAACCAATCACATATCGGAACGGCCTACGCCCTCGCCGTACGTCGCTACCGGAGCCAGTAAAACAGCTAAGTTTAAGACACTTTTTCCCCCCTCCCTGCATTTCCCCCATCGGGTCATGGGAACGGTAACGGGCAGATGCTTTAACCAATCACGTTAAGATGATCTGCAGCCACTCTCTAAGGAAAATTAAGAAGCCGAACTATATGGATAAATACGGTTGCATTTCAAAGCATTGAAGGTAAAAAAGAAAAAAAAAAAAAAAGACTTCCTGGTGGGGAGTGTCTAGTGTAAGTAGTAAAATGAGAATGTGTTAACTTTTGGGCTATTATCGCAAACTGAGGAGTAGGAGCTTCTAAATGCGAAAGATCCCTTTAGTTTGGGTTCTCCTGTAACCCCGGCGTTGATCATTGATTTACAGAGAATTTTAATTTAGCGTAATTGCCCCACAGCGACACTGCAGTCCGAGAGCCAGTCGCTAGGAGCCAGGTAACTGTTCAGTTCCGGACGCACGATCAGAGTGGATGCTCGGATGAGATGCTCACAGCCCTGTGGGAGTGGACGGAGCCGGAAACACCGACTGGCTCCGCGCGCAGTGAACGAGCTTAGCAACCCCTCCCACAACCCAGTACCCCATAAACACTCCTATAAGGTGGACGAGGAGGACCATCCCTGTTTCACAAACAGGAGTTGAAGCCAGAGAGACACGGGACTTGTTTATGGATGCCCAGCTCTCTTTGGAGAAGGGCTTTGGTCCAGACAAAAGTTCTTCCTTCTCGTTGAGCCCCGTAAAAGTGCAGTCTTTCTCTGACAGCTGAAAAGCACTTTCAGAATTTGTACTGCTCTCAGAAAAGCATCGTGAGATTTCTCATGATACTGTATCGGAGAAAAATACTGTTTGTTTGATCTCCTCTACCCCCCTACCCTATAAGTACATATATGCCAAATCCACTTGTAGCTAGAAGGAAACCTAGAAAAGAAATAAACACTGAACATGTGTCATTTACGATTTATTGATATATATTATGCCATTTACTTCTCCCTTACAGGAGTCTTAGGAGGTAGATAAGGTTATACCCACTCTGCAGATCAGGAAATTGAGGGCCTGAGATGTTATAGGAATTATCCAAGGGTACTGGGTTAGAAAGTTGAAGAACTAGTATTTGAGGCCAGAAAAGCCCTCTCTATCACACAGTTTTCTGTAATGAAGAGTAGCCTGCAGAAACCTGGCTCCAGTTTAAGTGACACCTGGGTATTTATATCTCCCTCCTGCTGAATGTACCTGGGAATAACTTTACTATTCATTCCTCTTCTTTTTCCATGTAATAACTTCTAGTCTTCTTGCCTCCAGTCTCTTTGTAGAATTCAAAGTGCACATGCTGGCTAACACACAATTCTTTTCTCGTCTCTAGGATCTGCCTACCCACTGAGTTCAGGCTAAAGTGCAAACCCTTTATCCCAGCAGACAGCCGTGTCTTCCCCCTACTCATGGGTCTGACCCTCAAGCAATCTAGTCTACTAAATGTGTGTGCATTGTCACAATATTTTAATTTAAACAGTATCCCTAAACATTTAGAGGTGATTTTTACTTCTCCTTTTTGCATCAACTTTGTTGAAGTATAAATTACATAGCCCAACCTTCTGTGCGTTTCAAGAGCCACTTGTTATTTTTTTTTTAATTTTTAATGTTTTATTTATTTCTGAGAGAGAGAGAGAGACAGCGTGAGCAGGGGAGGGTCAGAGAGAGAGGGAGACACAGAATCAAAAGCAGGCTCCAGGCTCTGAACTGGCTGTCAGCACAGAGCCCGACGTGAGGCTCGAACCCACGATCTGTGAGATCGTGACCTGAGCCGAAGTCGGACGCTCAACCGACTGAGCCACCCAGGTGCCCCACTTGTTATTTTGGATTAGAATAGGATGTGGGTTGAATGTGGGCCCACTTAGCCATAGCCTCAGGGCTTTAGACTTGAACTTGAGCTGTATTTCCCCCATACTGCCTGACTTAGCGACTGGCATCACCACCACATTGTAGCTATTTGACTGACCCATAGACTTATTGAATGAATGAATGAAAGAAAGAAAGAAAGAAAGAAAGAAAGAAAGAAAGAAAGAAAGAAAGAAAGAAAGAAAGAAAGAATAAAGACAGTATAGTCCAGTGGTTAAAAGCATCAACTTTGGAGCCATAAATATGTGGGGCTATGGCTTTGAGCAAGTGACTTTACCTTTCCGAGCCTCAGTTTCCCATCTATAAATTGAAGGTAATAGTAGTATCTATAGTGTGTGGTTATCACAAGACTAATGATATGGTGTGAGTAAAGCACGGAGTTTGGCACAGAGTTAATGCTCAAAAATGGTAGGTATTGCTATTTTTATAAATAAGGGTAGGATGCAGGCTAGGGCCATACAAATCCTATGCAACAGTGGGCCCAACACACTAGGTGAACTTAACCTAAGGGTACCGCAAGCATTCATACTAGTCATTTTTATTTGGTTAATCAGCAAAGAAAACATGAAGCACTTGGTGGGAGACAAAGAAAATACCTATAAGGTTTGCCTTGTGGGAAAAGCTTCTACCTGGGAATCTAGGGACTGGGACTCTAAGTCCTGTCTGGCCCACTCCCCTCGTCATGTGGGGTTACGTATTCCCTTTCTCTGGGACTCAGTCTTCCCATAAGAAGGTATTGTTATAGGTCAGATGTTAACACTGGGTCAGGCCAGATTCAGTAGGATTTTCTTTTCATTCTTTCTCTTACCCTGTTGGCCTTCACAGTATTTTAGAGCTATTTGAACTGATTGCCAACATTTAAAAATTGAAAGTGTCACATAACTTTTGATTTCCAGGTTTTTTTAAATGGGAAGATATGGGGTGCCTGGGTGGCTCAGTCGGTTATGTGTCTGACTCTTTTTTATTTTTTTTAAATTTTTAATTATTTAATTCATTAAACAATTTTAAATTAATTTTTTAATTTACAACCAAGTTAGTTAGCATACAGTGAAACATGATTTCAAGAGTAGATTCCTGGGACAGGCCCAGGGACAACAGGGGGGAGAGCCACTTCCTCCAGCCCCGGAGTCCCAGATGTGTGTGCCCACAGGGCCCCTCAGCCTCCTGGATGGGCAGGGGCTGCGGGGACAGGGCTGGGGGATAGGCAGCCCTGAGGTCTCAAGGGCTCTGGGCAGGTGTCTGGTGAACTGCTGAGAATCTCAGCCCATCAGAACCGGAAGAGTGGCTTAGTCGGTTGAGCGTCCGACTTTCGCTTAGGTCATGATCTCGCGGTTCGTGGGTTCGAGCCCCGCGTCGGGCTCTGTGCTGACTGCCAGCTCAGAGCCTAGAGCCTGTTTCAGAGTCTGTGTCTCCCTCTCTCTCTGACCCTCCCCTGCTCACTCTCTCTCTCTCCTAGAAATAAATTTTAAAAAAAGAGTAGATTCCTTAATGCCTCTTACCCATTTAGCCCATCCCCCCTCCTCCCCCATTTGTTCTCCATATTAAAAGTCTCTAATGTTTTTGTCCCCCTCCCTGTTTTTATATTATTTTTTGCTTCCGTTCCCTTCTGCTCATCTGTTTCATATCTTAAAGTCCTCATATGAGTGAAGTCATATATTTGTCTTTCTCTGACTAATTTCGCTTAAGATGATACCCTTTAGTTCCATCCACATAGTTGCAAATGGCAAGATTTCGTTCTTTTTGATTGCTGAGTAATACTCCATTGTGTGTATATACCACGTCTTCTTTATCCATTCATCCATCTATGGACTAAGAGTCCAACTCTTGATCTCAGCTCAGATCTTGATTTCACAGTCATGAGTTCAATCCCTGCCTTGGGCTCTACACTGGGCATGAAGCCTAGTTAAAAAAGAAAAAAAAGGAAGGGGGAAGATAGGACAATACAGGACCAGACCTCCCACATGGTGACAGTTGGCTGGAGCTGCACATGTCCCCTGTAGATGGGACATGGTGTCCTGGTTTGCCACAGTCCCCACCACTTTGTTACCTCTATGTTGAGGCATAAAGGCAGTGCCGTTTATCACCATCTTTTTGCTGTTGTTTTTTGTAGGCAGAGTTAACAAGAAATTAATATATTTCTTGTTTTCATTAAACACGGAATAATGAAAACGAGCGTGGAGGGAAATGATCTAGTAACTGAAAATATGTCATATGGTGATTGCGTGCCTTTTTAATATCATGCTAGAGAATTGCTCATAAACCCACAAAAGGGCCATCTGACTCTGGGGAAATTTAACCCTAACCATTGATTAGGATCCAGTGATTTTTTTTTTTCCAACTTTTCTTCTAAAGTTAGAAGTTAGCTTGTAGGAAACTGATAAGATGCAATAATTTTTGCATACTTGATGGAGAAAATAATCCCAACGGTTACAGTTTTATTATGCTATGGGTTTGAAATATGATTGGCAATCATAATTCAGTGTTCCTTTAACTCTTCTCAAACTCTTTCCAGACCAGCTCTGTCATAAGGTTAGTTCCTTCATTAACGATTAAATAGGCTTACTCTTTATTGGTAGGAGAATCATTTTTTTAATAACCAACAATTATTTTATTAAAAAGTTCGGAGAATCATATTTTTAATTTCTTAAAGGTATTAACCTTTGGTCATCACGTAAATTCCACAATTGTTTGGGTTAGCTATTTGTTACTAATGTTACCTATAATTTAAAAATCAAGTTTATTGAGGTAGGAATTACCTACAGTAAAATACCCACATTTGAAGTATACAAGGCTGATGACTTCTGACAAGTGTGTATACTCATGTAACAACTACCCCAGTCAAGACAGAGGTGTGACAATGATATTTTTTACAATTTGGGAATTTTTCTTTTAGGCTACAGAGAGAGGGTCCTGTG